ATGGCGACATGATGATCACGACATTATGATGGCGACTTGATGATGCTGCTACCGATGATGCTGATAATGATGATGCTGATGATGCTGATGATGCTGATGATGCTGATGATGATGATGATAATGATGATAATGATGATAATGATGATGATGATGATGATGATGAGGGGGATGTTGACCATGATTCGTTGATGATGATGTCGACGATGATGGTTGAACCCGTAGAAGTACTCATGGGAAGCTTCCATGTAGCTTTCACGGCTTCGGTTTGAATCATCCCGACGAGGTTCCTGAAGCACCACGGTTTAGGGTTCAGTACTACTTAGGCATCCACACTGCAGAAGGCCGCCAGCAGGCCTCACACGGTAAGAAGATGCATCCACCTCCTCTCCATGCAACCACCTCACTGCGAGCTTCCGTTTGGGAGTTCCCAGGAATGCCTTGACTTGGGATGTCGACGTTGCAAAACCAGGAGCTCATGCGGACCAGCCACGGACACAAACGATAACCCCTGCGCATCGTGCCTGCATCCTTACACGCTGTCTACTCAAAAAATCGAGGACCCAAAGCCCCAGCGCTGCCTATGCGGCAAGTCTGGCTGAAGGCAAAGCGGCCGACAAAGACCGACCACCTTGGCGAGGAAAATGTCAGTACTAACCAAAGAAAGCCCAAGCATGGAGAGACAAATGTGCGTGCGGGAAGCAACTGGACCACCAAGCAAACGAGAGACTGGTCAATCCGAGGCCTCTCGCGACAGGGGGAAAGGCGCAAACATGCATATAGAAGAAGCGAACAAACAAACTGACAAACAAACAAACAACCAGACAAACAAAACAACCACACATGCCGGCATTCATATTAACGAATCCACCCATGCGCGTAGACTCATACGAGCCGGTAATTCTCCTCTCGTGTGTGTATATATATACACACAGAGATATACGAAGTTCTATAACTATGTCCGTTTGTGTGTCTGTTTACATATAGAACTATTGTAGGAGACCTTCCACGTGTGCATATATGCCCTGCCGGACAAGAACTGATACGTGCCAACGAGTATCTCTCTGCGCACACACGCACACACACACACATACAGATATAAAAAACTACACATACATAAATAAGAAAATATACGAACGTACATACCTACATATATATATATATAGATATGTATATACACACCTGCTTCAAGGCATCGCTGAATCACTGGGCCGCGCTACATCAAATAGATTGCATCCTGACGCGGGATAAGTACGATTGAAATTCGGTGCCTAGGTGCATCGCAACCGCCCGAAGTTACGGCCTCGCTGCAAAAGGACAGACCTGGGACGAGAGACACGACGTGCAGTCGTGGGCTCTACAGTTTCGGTCTGCTTCTGCAGGGACCGGGTGTTCAGAGCACATCGCCTAAAAGCGATCTTAGCTGGGCTTAAAAAGATCTCTGCTGCGCTTCAACTTTGCAGTCACTCTTCTTCGGCTATCTTGGGCGGCTTCTATCAACCTGGGCCATCCTTCAGTCTTTTCAGAATCCCCTAACATAGGGGTTGGTCCCTTAGTCTACTTATAGGTATAGTATACCCCAAAGCCCTATTCTAATCATTAAGCCCCCTATATCAAAGTATAATTATAGTATAGTATACCCCAAAGCCTATTCTCATCATTAAGGCCCCAATATCATAGTATAACTTATCATAGTATACTTATAGTATATTATGCCCCAAAGCCCTGTTCTAATCATCAAGGCCCCTTCTTTTATGTGGGCTCCATCTGAGAGCCGGACTACGAAAGCCACCCGTAGCCATCACCGGCAAGCCGGGCACTCGCTGCCCTGCGGGGCGCTTGAGGGTTTGGGGCTTAGGGCTTCGGGTTTAGGGGTTAGGGCTCAGGGGCTTTGTATCGAAAATTCGTGTGCGCCGACCAGGGCTCTCAAACTTGGCAGATCATTGCTGGCGTTGCCCCGTCGCTGATGCTCTGAGCTTGCGGCGCACCGCACGGGCAAAGTCGAGGAATGTGCCTTCTCTGTCCTGGAAACGATATATTCATCCTGAAACATCTTGCCAGCCAAACGGTGTGTCAGAGCGAGCAAAACAAGTAAAGGGACAGAGGCAGAGGAAGAGAGAGGGAGAGAAAGCTCGCACAGGCACACGTGCACACACACAGCCAAACAAACGGACAGTTAGGCAAGCAGTGCATGCACACAAACGCACACACACACACACTCTCTCGCCCACTCGCTCGCTCGTTCACTCACTCACTCGCACTCACTCACTCTGAGAATGGCCCAGGTCCTGATCACTTTGGCCCATGCAGGCCATGTGCTCGTACGTGCCTCCTGACACCTCACCAGAACTGCCGATTCCATTGACACAGCATGCAACTTCAGGAACTGCACAGATGCTACAGCTCCTTCGATGCCACCTACCCTCTTCGATTCTGACAGACGAGCCTTGGGGCCTGAAGTCCTCCCCAGGCTTGGCTCCAGAGTCTCTCATGCTACCTCTCATGCTACCTCGGAAGTGCATGCCACTCAGAGATATCGAAATCTGCCCCTAAACAAAGGAGCAGGGACGAGAAGAACGAGAGGTTTGCTGTACGCCGACGAAACAATACCCGAACCTTCACCTGCAATCTCTGGCCTCCACCAAATCCACAGATGCCTTCGCGAGTTCGGCGAGAAGCTCAAGTGCCTTCCATGGCTTTGGCTCGAGGGCTTCGGTTTGAAAGGGTTTAGCTGAAGTTTAGCTGGCGCAAAATGCTGCCGAGCAGGTCAAAATCTCAAGGCGTTGGCAGGTGTATCTTCAGGGGAGGGATAGCTGCTTCACGGAAAAGCACGCAAGAGGGGAGTGCACACTCCAAACTGTGCTTTCATCGTCCTACAACTTCAAACTGCCAAAGCACCTGGGCCCACTGGGCATGCATAAAGCAATCATAAATTAGATTGGCTTCTGTTGTTGTGCCTCCAAACGCAAGCAAATCCATCACGGAAGTCTCATTGAGGCAGCCATTTCTTTTCAGAAACACCTAAGCACAGGCTGTCCCGACTATGTGCATAGCACTATACGTGCACAAACAAGTACATACACATTTGCATGCCTCGTAAGCAATTGCGCGCAAGTGTTTCATGTCTGTGTACATGTGCGCTGCGCACATGCGTATATGTACACACGCATGCATACATACATACATACATACATACATACATACATACATACGTACATACTACATACATACACATGCATGCATGCAGACAGACAGACAGACAGACAGACGTCAGACAGGCAGGCAGGCAGGCAGGCAGGCAGGCAGGCAGACAGACAGACAGACAGAGAGACAGAGAGACAGACAGACATGTTTGCATACATGAATATATGTATACAGCTGACATCTGCATGCGTGAGCGGCTGGTGGCCATTTGCGGCCTCGGACTCCTTGAAACCACCGGCACGGAAGTCCTGGCAGTTCACCTTCACGGAGAGCAGCTTCCCTGCAGAGAACAATACGACACGCATGCAGAGGAGTCATAACCAAGGGATAACTCCGGCATCACACCTTAAACTAATTTTGTCGGTGGGCGAGGTGGGTGACTAGACCAGACAACAGGTAATCATGGACAAGATCGCTAGAATTCACTGTTCTTCAATTAGGCTGTTTCATTCAGGTTGTCGATGCGTTCGGTATTGTGTTGAGCCTTGAACCGAGATTTATTCAGGTCGCATCTCAGCAACAACGAAATCCAGGAACTTGGTCAAAGACAACGTCTCAAAGGCTCTCCGTTGGCCGTCTCTGTGCTCTTTCAACAGCCTTGGCATGTGGAATTGTGCATCCTCAGACCCAAAGCAGGGGCACCCGAGACTCTGCACCCGAATCTTAAAGCCAAGACTCCGAAAAGCGATTACTTTGTAGAAGCCAAAATCTCCGATCCTGGCCCCATGGCCATCCGGACAGCGGCGACAATGTCCAAGAGAATCCTCCTGCATGAGGTCGCGATGTCTGGCCCCAAATTGTGCCGTCACTCTCACGGCTCGCTGCTGTGCGTTTTTAGTGGCCCCTCTGCAGGCATTCTCGTATGTAGCCAATGGCCCTGCTCATGGAACAGCATAACGTGTCAAGATATGCAAAGACTACCCCGACTGCAGGACCCCGGAGCAGGTCATGCGATTGCGCAGGGGGCCGCCGAAATCGTCTGACCGCCGGTTGGTGTGCGCCGACAGAAACCTCAGGCTTGGGAACAGAAGCTGTGAACTCAATGAAGTCTTGTACCACCCGACACTGCGGAACCTCGATCTTGTCTGGGCTTTTTCTGCAAAGCACCCAGAGGTCAGAGCATTGAATTCAAGCGGGTAACTGCCAGGTGGCTGCGATAGCAAGTAGCCATGCGCCGCATGTACCTAACGACGACACACTCTGTGGAGTCTGCAAAAACCTGTACTGCCGCTTGTATCTTTTTCTCAAGCCAGTCGAGGCTGGCTTGCATCTTGAGGCCGGTCATGGCTTGCATGTTAGTTACTAGTTGGTAACATGTCTAGTTTCGTGGCGCCACGGTTCGTGGGGGTCTGCTGAATGAAAGGCATCTCGGCAGATGTTCCGCACCTGCACACCGTGGAAGCCGGCAGCCACGCAACGCTTCGATGCCGCGGCAAACTTGGACGGCAGGGATCGGACCTCCTCCTTCAGGCAACTGCGATGTGCTCCGCACTGACATGGAACACGAGTACTATTACTATTACTATTACTATTACTCTTACTCTTACTCTTACTCTTACTCTTACTCTTACTCTTACTCTTACTCTTACTATTACTATTACTATCACTATTATCATTATTACTACTATTGTTATTACTCTTATCATTATTACTCTTATTATTACTATTAATATTATTGCTATTATTATCAACAACAGACCTGGCCCTGCCCGGAGCCCGGCCATTTCAAACCGACAAATCTCCAAGCCCGAATCCCAAAGGCCCTACTGCAAAGCCCTAAAGCTTTAGGGTTTTGGGTTTTGGGTTTAGGGCTAACCTTCACACCCTAAAGCTTTAGGGTTTTGGGTTTTTGGGTGTAGGGCTAAACCTTCACACCCTAAACCCGTGGTCGTTTCATGACCCTGGCCTCAGTCAAAGCCCGTGGGCGCCGGAAAAGCTGGAGGCCAACGCCCGGCAGCTTGAATGAGACCTCTCCAGCAGCACTTCATCAAGCCCTTGGCTTTCAACCAAAAAGAGCTTCCTGGGTAATTGCCATGGTGTTACAAGCTAGTATCATTACTGTTGCAATTTCAGGCGGTATGATTCTGATTCTGACTATCGTGGTTATCGTGAATATGACGACTATTCCAATTATCGCCTGAAAGTGAAGGCAAAGGCCCAGGCCTCGGATGGGGCGGCGGGCCTTTGCCAGCTCACGGACAGTGGACACTGCCGCCCGGGGTGCGAGAGCTGCCTTGGTCTAAGGTAGATCTGCATGTTTACATGCGGCTACATGTTATCATCGTACCTTGTTGAGTGTGCGGAGGTTGACTCCCATATAGCAACGCTTGAATACCCGGGGCCTCTGAGAACGGAAAAACTGTCCAATCTCGAACAATCCTCTCGCAAACGCGTATCCTCGCCATGGTGCACAATGGCCACCGGTGCAGAGCTACCCGCAGCCGGGGTTGTGCTTGCGCTGCCCCATTCCTGTCAGCAGTGCTGCATGCACATGAACATGTGCAGTTGTCCACATTTCCGTGCAGATGTCCGTGTGGGTCATGTAAGCTGCGCATTCATACGGTTGCATCCTTGTGCACAACACCACATAAAGAACTGCAATCCTACATGATAATATACACGCAACCGCACATCTGTGCGCGGAAGTTCTTGGATGCATTTTTGCTATGAGTGCAACCTTGGATTGTACAATCAGGTGCCTGAGACGGCATCCCGCCCGAAGCTCATCGCGCCAAGGCTAACCTTCAACCCGAAACCGGCCTTCCAAAGCAAGGTCGGATGCTCCTCACTCGCGACGACGTTGCAGGGGCCCTCTAAATAGGCACTGTCCACCATGACATTCCTTTGCACTGGGGGTTTGGGACTGTGGTGTCTCGAATTGAGCTTGGGGCTTCGAGGTCGGTGCATCGAGAAATTTTTCATGCCTTCATAAGGCTAGCCTTCTTCAGCCTGGGCTGCATGCAGCATTTCAGTAAACGTCCTAGCTGTTATCCTGGTTGGCATGGCTTCAAGGGCACTTAGAGTGCAATTCTGATGGTACAAGGTCTTCAGGACCGGTACTTGCAGCAGTGCAAAGCGCTGACCGCAATAGTGTGCAGTACGAAAGAGCGGAACACATGGTGCACTGTCGAATCGCTGTAGGCTGTAGGATTGGCATTCTTCTTGTCCCTGGTAGTTAGGGGACTGCACTGCCACCTGTGCTTGAATGCTGGTAAAATCTGAGCCCGAAACTGCAGGGCAGTGAATCACCCTGCTTTGTGCTTGTTCGTCGTAGCTGAGCAGTTGAAAAACTGGCGAACAGATTTTAACATGCCTCCAAGGCACCCCGTTATGATGAGCCCAGCCCCGCCAGCGGCCCACTTCCGGTAGAGCTCGATCAGCTCGTTCGTCGGTTCGCCGGTCCTGCCGAACGGCAACTCATGTTCCTTCATAGCCGCAGCACCTTGTGTGCCATTGAGTGATCATGCACGCAGAGCTTTGCTACAATTTCAGCTCGTATGCAAGCAGGACTGAACGTCGATAGCCAAGCGAGGGCTGAGTACTGCGAACCTTGGGTTTCCCAAATGCTCGGACGTCGCTGCTTTCGCCAGGCGATTCGGCAGGCACACGCCACATGGCAGTGTGAGCGCGGAATCCACCATGGCAGAAGCAGTCTCTGCAGCTAGTATCACATTCTATCAGCACTTCTGTGACAACTCTGCTCACTACGGACAGTTCTGAATGATGGCTTGCAACAGTGGTCAGCGTGAGAACATTATGGCCTGTCCTGTTCTGGTGCTGGTGGACTGAGCAAAACTGCTAATCAAGGCCAAAGCTTGACCAAAACATCGCTGCGACAACACGGAAAGTCGAATTTCTGAAGATATGCGTTCGGGGCTACGATCGGCAGCTCTAAGCAGGTTCTCATGCATGACTCCGTGAAATGCAATCACGGAGTGCCATCTCCTTCAACTTGGCGAGCCAATCCTGCGCTCGGCCCAAATACCTGCCACATACTCTTTGCATGAATGTCTCTACAAGTATGTATACAACACCAGCATGGACGATCATATGTAATTACTCATACACATACATACATACATGCATACATACATACGTACACACGTACATACATACATACATACATACATACATACATACATACATACATACATCTGTATACATGTATGTATATCGGTCTGTCTGTATGTACGTATGTATGCATTTAAAACAGCATGACTCGATGCACAAGTCTGCTATGCCACCACAGGGCAAAACAAAATAAACGCATTCATGCATGCATGTATGTCTGCGTGCTTATGCGCATGTATGAACCGATGTATGCATACATATAAAATATGTCTGTTCATCTATGTATTCATCTTTGTATGTATGTATTTATGTTTCTCATCTATGAATGATAGAGGCAGGACTAAGGGCGCCCGTGTGATCCAGTGTGCGGGTCTTCGGTTGGTGTGTGTGTGTGTGTGTCAGCGTATGATTCGGGGGTATGCTTTGCAACGACCACTTCCCGGGGTATGTATCAGGTACTCTTCGCAGCCATGACTTGCTAATTGCATCAACAAAGGCAAGGATTGACGCGTAAATGTAGCATGGTGGCGTTGTGTCAACATGCTCAGACCCGAGACCCTCCACTGTCCACTGTCAACTCCACTCCATCAGAACAGACCTCCACGAGAAAAGACTATCGAGCCCATCTTTGCCTCACAAGTTGTTCCTCTGCCAACCTTGGTTGGAGTGTCGGAGCCGGCTGCCGACGTTCCAAGCCCACTGAGCGACGTGTGAGATCTGTCTGAGAGGCAAGCTTCCCCGTAACACGGGAATGGCATCGCATGGGCACCTGCGCGAGCTCAACTTCAAAACTTCTGTCAACAAGCACCAGGGAAGGCCAAATCATATCACAAACGCACGGCTGACAACCTGCTACCAGCTATTGCTATCGGCAGTATGTTGTGCCTCTGCCAGCAATTCTCGCCGCATGACGTTGGATGATTCCTCGGTCTCGACGGGCATCAGTCGCACCTTTTGCGAGACACCTTGTCAAAATCTGTCTGCCGAGGTACAGCCAACCGCGGATGTGGCAACAATGGGTCACCTGAACCTGCCCAAACGTGTGAGTCGTATGGCTGCTTCGGCTCTGCAACGGGTTCTCTCATTGGCTCAGTTTTGAAATGTCCCATTGTAGCAATGTGAAACATACAGTTGCTACGACCAAGCCCAGGTGACTTGCCTTCCCGAAGGAAACTGTCATGACTGGCATGGATGAGTTGGCGGTGCGTGCACCCAACACGCCCAGGGCTCAACCGTCGTGCGTATGCTTGTGCGTGAGTGTGGGTCTTTTTGATTGTGCATGTGCAGATGCACGTAGGACCTACGTGGGCAGATCATGTCATATCGACAAACATAAACAGAAGTGCTGAGCCGCATGATCTCCATGCATGGGTGCAAATGCATTCCGATTCCGAGTCTAAAGGCGACCCTATAGGTACTTTTGTCTATGGTGTTTTTTTCCGAAGGTTCTGTCCAAACTCCTCTCCAAAGAAAAGAGACTCATACAGCAGCGCCCTGTAGTAGAACTCTAGAGTGCACCTCGTGGTTGCGCCAGCTGCTCCAGTAGCCATCGATCCATGGAGTCCGGCGGTGGAGCCTGCAATCCCAGCACCTGCAGAAGGTCAGGAGGCTCTCTGTTCGTCTTCCATCTTCTTCGGCCTACAGGTTTCGGCTTTCATGCAAAACCCCCCCTGCGGCCTCGGCACAGGTCTGGGCGTAGAATTTTCGAAGCCTTGGGCCAAAAAACCTACGCCTCTTAACGCCTAAGCCACTCTCGCTGAGCAAAGATCATGGAATGCCCGATCTGCAGCTACGGCTGGGAGCCACTGCTCTTCGAAGTACCCAGCGCGCTGAAGCCTCGGGATGCTCGCAATAATGTGATTGGCGAAGCACAGGTACTCTGACCGTAGATGGCCATATCATCACCATCGTAAATACCAAATATCGTGTTCGAAAAAATCGTAGTATGTGCTCATATTATGCCTATGTCTAGGCAGCTACCAACGCTTCCTATTCACAGTACAGCAAGTGCTGTGCTGTATCTGCCACACTCAGTTCACAGCTCCTTGCTTGGAGACGCCGGCGTTCTGCAAGCCTGCCACTTGGCCCCCATCAAGTTCTGCAGACAAGCCTCGACTTTAATCAAGAGTTCCCCATGTCCTCGGTGCGAGCCGGCTCGGAGAAGTCCCACAAGGCCTCGAGAGCTACGGCGTGAAAGTGGTGCAGCCCGGGGAGCCGAGGCAGACGCCACTCCCTTCCTTTGTGGGACCTGGCAGTTCGACTCAAGGCCTAGCCTGGCCTCTGCAAAGGGGAAGACAAAGGAGACCCCTCCCTTTGAAGATGGCACAATAGAGTTTGAGACGTGGCATGGTAAGGATATGGTGCCTGCGACGACACGAACCAGGATACTCAAGGAACAGTGAGGGCCGTAAGCTCATCAGGATGCGGCGGCCACGATGGATGACAGAGATGCTAACTGTGAAAAACAGTGATGGTGACAAGGAAGATTAGCCAAGATGACCCGTGCATGGGCACAACACGAGACAATCAAAAATCAGTCGACCAGAATTATAGCGGAGGGACAAGCAGGAAAAGAAGTTTTTTGTTTAGCCCTGTGTGGTTGTTTGAAGTTGTTTCGGACATGTCTCTGTCGATCGCTTGCACGACTATTTAGGAATTTAGGAATAGTAGCGGGATAAGAAGGCTTTGGCAGGAGGTTTGTTGGGTGTGCCAAGCCCACAAGCATCGTCTTTGAGGCTGCAAGCTTGGGCCATGAGCAAGCGAGCGGGTGCCTGCATGGATTCGGGTGCAGGAACACAGCTGCACAAGGACATTGCAGCCACAAGTCAGGCCGTCAACACATCGCTGCCCGTCCAGATGATGTTCTCGCGCTTTCGCTTGCCCTTTCCTGCCACGGTAAATCGCCAGCAACCTCGGCATCACTTTCATTGCTCCGCAGAACGTCCTGCCTGACATTGCGGATATAGATCTTACATGGCTCGTGTGCTGTAGTCTTGGTGCAGAGCTTTAGTGTTTGGCACGTGCCACTATGTGCCACTGAGATGTCAGATTACACCTAGTGGAGGAGAATGGCCATACACTGACATCTGGAGGCTCTGACAGAAGGCTGGGTAGATCTTGCGCTTTTCGTTACTAGCAGCTAGTCACTAGCAGTGCGCTTTCAGCAGGCTCACTCCTGGAGTAGAGTCGGGCGTGGAAAAGCGATGAAACAAATTCAGTTGAAGATGAGCTGATGCGCTCTGCTTGCGCGTCAAGAGGTTTTGAACGGTTCTCCGCCACAGCGGACAGTGGCCAGAAGATGCTGTGCGTCCAAGCGCGAGTCATTTCTCCCCACTCGCCAGAAGCAGTCAAGGAGTCTGACCAAGGGTGCCTAAAGCCCTGCACCTGTAACCCAAGTACAGCGAGGCTCATGTATAATGAGCCACCTGACTTTCCTGTTCGACGGGATCTGTATGTACACACCTCAATGCCCAGGTGAGTTAAATGTAAGTTCTGCGTTCTGTCATTCCATACCTTATACCCTAAATCCTACTAAACCCCAGACCCTAGTAGCCGCTATGCACTGCGCTTCTCGTGACAAGCTAGCTGTCTCAGACTCCGGCTGCGTCGCACTTATTGCACAATGTGTTCGCACAGTATCTATGTTATCATGTCTCACCGGACTATTGTCGACGGAATGGAGGAGTTGCAGATCTGATGCAGCTCCGAAGGACCAGGATGTGGGATTTGCCGTGGCCTTACGATCCTCTTGCTCGAGGGCACAAGTGACTCACAAGTGTGTCAAACAGTTCGGAATGCTCGCATGGCAAATCTACAAGGTTTCGCCACACCGTAGGCTGACCCAGACCTGTGACTCTCCGGATCGGTCGATTGAACCTAGAAGGCTAAACCTTCCCGAAGAGCTGTGCCAACAGCTCGAGACGGGATCGGAGCGCTCAGAAGCGCATCTTGGCACACTCCTGGGCCCAATTGCTAGCACATCACAGGAAATGAGAGCAGACTGAACGAACCATGCGCAATTCGATGAGGCCAAGACAGGCCGACAGCTCAACAACTACACTGATCGGCACACAACAAAAGCAAAAAAAGACAGAAGGAGACGATGACAAAATGGCTGGGCCGTTAGGGCTGCCCTCACATTCAGTATGTTTGTCATACATAGCACGACGGACACCGATGACCCTCATCAGGCTAGCAATGCGAAGCTGACTACCGACACTACTGAGACACTCAAGATCAACAAGCGAGTTCTTGAAACGTCATCGGCATACTACTCTGGGGCCTCTAGACCTTGTAGGAGGAATAACGACAGCAGCGGCCGATGTCACCACCACCGCTGCAGTAAAAGTCTTGGAAAACCTTTGCCGACGATGTAAACCCATCTGGATACAGAAACTGGCACAAAGCACGAACTTAGAGGGACATCAAAGGTATGTGCAGAAGGGGCAGAAAAGGAGCCCTCCAACACGGCTGCCCAAACTGCATGTCTACGAGTCCACGACACACGAACTCGGGTTTAAGACTTACTCGACCCTCGGAGCATCGAGACATCAAACCCCAAACGAATCCT